GCTTAATCTTAATTTTTGTTCTAAGATTTATACTATATCTTTGGCTTACAATTTATTTAAAAGACATTGTGTGATATCTTCTAGTATTAGAAACTTTAAAAAGTATATTTCCATTTTCTGTTGACTTTATATTACTTCTCTGTCTTTTATACACACATACACACACATATATGGAAAAAATATGTGTAGAACCTAACATAAGATTGGTACTGTTTCATAGAAATCTGCAATGACCTTTAAGTAAGGGTTCATCTAATATATTTTTTATATAGTCCTGCATAACTATCATATTGAGAGCTCTTTATTGTTCATCCAGGAGCATACTGCAACTTCTCTTGCCTTCTGAATTATGCTCTTTGTTATTTCCTATATGCTACTTCTGGATATTAAAATATTTCAAGTTTGTATAACCAGAAAAAAAAAGAATATCTAATTCCACTATCTTTTTAATGTCTGAATTCTTTCCACAGCATCCCAGCCACATGTTCATTAAGCCAAATTTTCCACAGATCAAGAGTTCATTGTTCTCCAAGAAGCAAATTTCTTCTTAAAACTTTTAAGAAATTTTCTTTACCCTAAGCTAAAACATGTCTACTACTTTCACCAGTGGGTAAATGTAATCTAAAACAAGTCTGAGTCCTTTCCTGGAAGGCCTCTTGTATGGCTGGAAGCATCAAAGAGTAGCAGATGTTTTCACTGAGTCTTCTGGTTTACATGTTCAGTCCTTCAACTGTATCTTCCACTACAGTTTCTAAACTATTCTAATATTCTAGTATTATTCTATTCATCACAATACTAGTTAACATCTAGTTTTTAATGTTTGTGCTAAAACAGAGAACCCATAAAAGAACCCTGGATTTCTGGATATGGCCAGAAAAGAGAACTATTACACTCTATTTCTACATCCCAAGATCACACTCACTGTTTTGGTGGCTTTGTCCTATCTTTTGAGCCAAACTGACTAAAATCTAAGCTGACTAAAATCTTAAACTTTTAGTCTTTAATGTATTCAAGTAGTTATGGAATGTCATTATGTGGATGTTACAATAGTAGAGACACTATGAGGAATTAGTATGGCTTCACAAAAAGTAAGACCCCAGGCTCAAATCCTCATTTTTTCTAGCTACAGCTGTGTGACAAGAACGCTTATTAGATTTACTCAATTTTCATAATAGGATAACTATCTTGCTATTTGCTGGTCTCAGTTCCAGAGCATATGGATGTACCCGTTGCCAGCAATTTAGAACACCAGCACTCCAGGTCGTCTAGCTCTTTCCAAATGCCTACTGAGAGAAAAAATGTTTAGAAAAGATCAGTCCAAGACTTTATAAACTCAACCCTTAGTTAGTACTGTCATCAAAATGTAAGCACTGAGAAAGTACAACAAAATGCCTCTCTAATCACCTCTACTGAACTACATTTAATGTTTTTGTTAGTTTTGATAAACTTATTACAAGAATAACTATGAAATTCATGACTGCACTGGTACTTTTTAGTAACTGAGAATAATGTTCATTCAGAATACCTCTCGTGCTAAAGTTTAGTTATTTTCTGAGGAATCAGATGTTTCTACATTACACAAACATTAGAATGATGTCATCTATTTTTAAAAATGTTTCAAAAAGAGAAATGTAAGGCTATAAAAATAATGAAAAATGCTATCAATGCTTATACAAATAACATGAAATATCTGCATTTCATTCTTTATCAATAACTGAAAAGAAATCCTTGAGAGCATTATGGGTAATTCTAATTGGATCTCATTAATATTAATAGTTAATCAAGTTAAAGAATATCATTCAATTGCCCCTGGAGCTCCAATTTCCAAATAATCTACCCAATAATTGACTTTTCCCAAATAACAAAGGTTCTAAGTTCATACGAATTTAAGAATTACCTAGAGGACTAGTTTGAAAGTTGTGGATTTTTAAAATAAACTTGCCATGTAATTGGGATGCAAGCATATTACAGAAAACTCTTGGAGAACAATCTTACAGAACCAATTTTGGATAACTTGAATCAATTCTTCCACTCCTCCCTGGTTCTTCTACTGTCTCTATTCTGCCCTTTTGAAAGCCTGGTGACAAATACTAAGTAGGATATTTATTAAGAGTTTTACTGAGCAGATGAAAAGATTATGTTCCTGCTTTTTCACAGCACACCACGTACCTCTCATGTTGATAGGCATGCTCACGAAAGGAGAACCTCACTCTGACTTTCTGATTGAGGGCAACCACTTATTTTGACTCTTCTGAGAAATGAGAGCTTAAAATGCATTAAAGTGGGTCCAAATCACAATCAAATGAAACCATGAATAGCACTGTACATAACTTTTCTCACTCAAGTGAGCCATTTGCAATCAGGTTTTTTTTTAATCTTCTATTCCACTTTTAAAGAATTTTAAGTAGAAAATTCTGATTACCTCCTTATTTTTCCAGAAAGTAAATTTTTTTCAACATTTTTATTACTTATAAACCATTTTAATTCAAGTAACATTATTTTTAGAAGATTTACTGACACGTAGTCTGCTGTCATAAGAAGCTCAGGGAATAAATTATAAATAATTAAATATTAAAACTAAGAGTGAAAAACTTTATTTTTATTTTTGCTCTCTCCTTATCATTTCATAGATTAAAAGATTACTCCATGACAGATTGGTGTTTATAACATGAAGTTTTCTATCTACATCATCTGTGTGATTGAACAAAACCAATACAGTTAGAAATAAGTTACTGTGGGGGCTAGGGAGATAGCTCAGTGGTGTAAGAGCCTGCCTGGCAAGTGCAAGGTTCTGAGTTTGATCCCTGGTACCACAAAAAAAAAAGAAAAGAAAAGAAAACAAAAAGAAATAAGTTACTGTGACTGAAAATTTACAATAAATATCTGCATAAAAGACTCAGGTACTTGTTCAAAGCTAAAAACCACCTCCTCATAGATACAGTTTATCTATAAAACTGTCCCTACATACATTCTAACATGCCTAAATTTGCTCTACATGAAAGGCATTATCAAATGATGAAAGGCATTATCAAATGAACAAGATGAGATATCCAAAGGGAAGATTCAGTGTCTCAAAAATAAGCAATTTAACTCAGAAAATGGCCAGGTAAATTTCATAAGTTTTTTTTTTTTTTTTTTCAAAACATCCAATTACTTACTAGAAGTGGTCAAAGCAGGAAAGGCAGTAATAACTTTTGAAATATACAGGGTCTTCTATCCGTAAGTTCTATTCTATCAATAAAATAAAATGGGCTTAACATTTCACTTAAGATAATTCATTATTAACAGATTTTACAGAAGCAAATACCTTAGAACCAAATCAAACTGCCTTAATAAATTACAATCACACTAATGAAAACAAATTGGAGGGTTATGGCCAAAATCCAAATTGTAGGACACTTCCAAAAAACTAGAATGTAAAACGTTAGGCTTAATTTAGATATCATCAATGTCTTTTTCATCATCTCCAACGTCATCAAACTGAATTTCATCATTATCTCCAGGACCAAATGTATCAGCTTCATTGATCTTAGCATGTTTGAGAAGCTCGCCATATGCTTTTAGACTTCTCACTTCATCCGCATTGTATTTTAGAATCACATCAACTTTGTTATTCTGGTAATCTCGGAGACCAACCAATCCAATGTCTGAGGTATTTATCCAAGCTTTTTTTTTTCTCAATTGCCTCTCTGATGTACATAATCTCTTCTCACCATCAAAACACATCGCTTCTAATTGTCCATTTCCCAGCATCTCGTTTGCCTGAGCATATTCTTGTCTGTCCTCTTTGAACAACAATTCTCTTTTTTCAGATTCATTCTCATTCTTACTTCTGTGCCTGTTTTTACCTCCTTTACCTTTCTTCTTGGGCATGGTGGTAAAGACAGTGGAGGAGCTTCTCTGGTTTCCTGGAGGGCTGCAGCGCTGGCGACACCCCTGAGAGGCATGACAGGTGTGGCAAAGGACCTTGTTGGACGAGGCTGGTGCTGGAGGCCAAGCTGCATGCATGGGAGAGAGAAGATCAGGTTCTCTTCATAAGTCTTTAAATTTAAGGAAATAAAGCTACGACCAGTTGGAGCATGATTCATTTTTTACGCTATTTGCATTTTTCATCTAGTATGTTTTTAATTTTATAAACTTCATGCTGTCTCCATGGTTACCAGCTCTTCATCATAACAAGCACCTAGTCTATTCAGAGAAATTAATATTTTCTTGAGAACTATACATACAAAATTGTTAACCACCTCTATATTCTTGCAGTGGCTAATTTAAGCTATTAACTTCCAGCAACAATTTTCAAAGCGTTCCGTAACATTTTCTCACTCATCAAACAAAGATAGGTACTGACCATCTCTCGATGCATCACCATGAATAAGCTTCAATGAAAATTAAAGTGATGTTGATTCTGTCAACATTTTCCACCTAAAAGCATGTAGACAATGTTTGAAAAATATGTATAGGTTTTTTCATACTTCTTGGATTCACAGCCTGACTCTATCACTCTCTTGTAAGAAACTACTACCTATGCCTCCATTTTCTCATCTGTACCAGAGGATAACAGCACTTACATTACTGGATTATTAGAGTTATTCTGGTGTGTAGTTCCTGGTGCCTATCAGGTCACTACCAGAACTTTTAGATTATAACTGTCAATCAATCTTATCACATGCTATAGTTTGGATGTGGTTTAAGTCACCAGAGAGACCACTGTGATTAAGGGCTTTGTCCCCAGGGTGGCCCTGTTGGGAGGTGGTGGAAACTTTGGCAGGTGGGGCCTAATGGGAGCTCCTTGGGTCATGGGGGGCATGCCATCAGAAGAGATCACGGGGTGCTCATCCTTCAGACTCACTTGGCCATGTAATCTCTTCTGCGCGTGTGTCCCTCTACCAGAATATGACACAGTCAAGAGGGAGACTTCCCTCACAAGAACTAAGCCAATACCAGTTTTACACCCTTAGGTCTCCAAACCTGTGAGTTAAATAAACCTTTTCTTTGTGTAAGTAACCAGTCTCGAGTAATTTGTTATAGTAACTAAAAACCCATATATCACATATGCATGAAATCATGTTTATTAGGAAATTTCTTGGTCTTAGAGACTCAACCTGTAAAATTGTTTTTAAGCATTGTCTGATTGTGTCATTCTCCATGTGCAGTGTACACAGTGGTAGAAAGCAGCTTAATTGACTCAGTAGTTTTGCTTTGTACATTTTCTACTTTTTTAGCTTTCAGTGTTGTATTAGATATAAAGTCTTAGTTGTGGATATAGTTTGTGTGTGGCAAACGGTTCTTGCATAGTAGCTTTTATTTAAAAAGGCTTAGCAAGAGCTAAGCTTTTAAAAATAGGATGGATTCACTTATCATTAATAAAAGCTCTGGTATAATAAAAAAAAAAATTTCTTCATCTTCCCAGAAAATAAGCTAATCTTGACTCTAATTTCCTGTGCAGCACTTGTTATATATTGTTTGATGTCCCTATTGTTTCTTAAAGTTTCATTCTTCAGACATCTTTTGTTTTTATTCGTTCATTTTTCTAAGCAAGTTACTCCTGTATTTCTGAAACTTTTAGTCTGACACTGACTATAGGCATTTTACATGTCCCCTTGTTTACTCTCTATATATAATCCTATGAACACTGGCATTTCCCACATACAGGTAAGAAGACTCAGGTTTTAAAGAATTCAGAGCTGGAGCTGCAGGCAGGGAACATGTCAGAATCTGACCTCAGCAGGAAGTGGGACCAGTGCTTGGCAGATGCAGTCGTGAAGATAGGTACTGGTTTTGGATTAGGAGTTGTTTCTTCTCTTACCTTCTTTAAAAGAAGAATGTGGCCCTTCAAACTGGCATGGGATTGAGGATGGCCTACTCCAACTGTCAGCATGATTTCCAGTCTCCGTATCTTCTACATGGAAAATATGTCAAAGAGCAGGAGCAGTGACCCACACCAAGGACATCCCAGCAGGAGCAGGAGAAATCATGTTTATTCCTCAGGAATACTGAAGTGCCCTGGAGTAAGCGTACGCTTTTCTGTAGCAGCGTTACCGGTAATGCTTTAAACTCTGGCAAATTGTTTATGTATTGGAAACGAAGTTTGTTTCTTGTTTTGTGTTTTCTTTCTGTAAATTGTAAGGAGGTGATCTTAAAAGAAATAAATTTTAAAAAGAAAAAAAAAGAATTCAATACTTCTCTCTCACCTCATTTGTAACACCTATCGGGAAGAAAAAAAAAAAACTTAAATGCTGGTGCAGACATAGACAAAGGGGGCTCTTATACCTTGTCAGAAGCTACCAAATTTGACTGCATAAAATGAAGAGGTGAACAGTGATCACTAGCAAAGGAAAAAAGAAAGAGAGTTTGAATAATGGATACCAAAATGCAGTCAGATAGCTGGAATGAGCTCCCATATCCAATAGCATAGCTGAGTGACATGGTTTATAACAATTTATTGTGCATTTCAAAATAACTTCAAGAGAAGAGTCCAAATGCTGTCAACACATAAAGTGACAAATGTTTGAGGCTATGGAAATGTTAATTACCATAATCTGATTATTGCAAATTGTATGCATGTATCCAATTATCATAATATAGCTCATAAATATGTACAAATAGTGTATCAATAAAAAACAAAAAGTTAGATAACTTCTATGAGTTCACTAAGCTAGTAAATAGCAGGTGTTAATCTAGGGTCAAACACTGACAGTCTTCAAAGTCTATGCTTAGCCTATTACCATAGATAAAGTACTAAGTAGAGAGATAATCTCACAACTTTTCAAAATCATGTCTGGCCCATCCAGCATTCTTAACTGACTTCCAGAAGCCAAGCAATGCATAACTATATTCCCGAGGGTAAAGTTCCTCTATCTTTCTGGACAATACAAGTTTATATGTGTGATTAACTCCCATATAACTGAAACTCTTTGGTGTGAATAAGAAACATAGCCTCTATGGGCTCTAAATTATGCCTTTTCAGGAAAAGACTTTTCTGCATCTCTTACACACTCTGCAAAATACTAGCCTAAGTGTTACTTGGCTTCAATTAAGGATTCAAATTGTTTCTTTAGCTACTGAGTAGCTCCAGCCAATGTGACCCATCCTATCCTATCAGCCTAGTGACTGTTCAGCCTAGTACAGTGCTCTCAGTGGCCAATGTCCTATTATTAAGGGGAAATATGAATAGGTCTAGTTGTGAACTCCAATACAATGTCGTGGCTTGACTCACTTGCTACTGAGGAAGACTATGGTTTATGAGTCCCTGACACCCACCAATTTCTGAAAAACTCTGATCTCCATTTAGTGAAAGGTAGCACTAGCTTAGATGTTCTTGACCTGAAACACTAAACTCTCAACTTGATCACCCAAATACTTAATGTAGTAGCCCAGGGATTTCAATTAAAATTTGCTGTTAAGACTCTATGGCCCCAGCTAGACAAAGAAACAGGGAGTAATGTATCCATGTTTCAGAACTAAGTACATTCCTGTTTGAGATGTCATTGCCTCTTATTCTACGTAGACATAAATTCTTGCTAGTAAAATTATTATTAAAAAATGTGAGATACTTTAATCGACATATATTCATAGTCTGGCCTCAAAGCAGACTTTTTTCTTATAAGGTAATGTATACTATGAGCAGTATAATAATGACTAAATATTACTCAATAAGGATTGTAATATGGCAAACTCTGATCTTATACTATCTTCATTCGTCTATGATTTCATTAATAAAGTATCTACTAAATAGGTATCATGCTAAGAACTGTTCTAGTCACAGAATTCACCTCGTGAAATGTTCACATTTGTGTATATATGTACAAAAAACATAAAAACATTTAATGAAATGTCAGTTAATAACACAGAGAATTTGCAAAAAAAAAAGAGAAGAAACTGAGAGTTGTCTTTTTCAGTGAGATGCTCAGAAAAGGAGGTGTAGCTTAAATGGAACCGTAGAAATGTTAAGAAAAGCATCATGACAATGTCTGTGGGACAAGTATACGAAAAACAGGACAATGTCTACAAGAAAATTGTCATCATATTACATGCTTAAGAAACAAAAGAAAGGTGAATGAAATAAGCGCTATAGTGACTTCAGGAAGGCAGGCAGAGAGGCTGGAATGTGCAGGGACTTGCAAGTCTTGGCGAGGAGCTTGAACTTCTGCCTAACGTGGTGAAACTGGAGAGTCATGAGGAGCAGAGTAAATTACTGGATTTTTTTCTAAAATGACTAGTTAGGGTGGTTAAGGACAGAGAACTGAGAGGTAGAATATGACCTGACTTGAAAACAAGGATTGTAATGTGGCACACCGAAGCACACACAGCACTGTCTTTGTCAAATCACCTGCCTGGGGTCAGTACTGATAAGGAAAACTGAAGAAATTTTATTTTAATGCTACTTGGACTCAACCAGCCCTGCTCCAATTTCTGCCATTGTTTTATAGATGGATCAAATCATTAGTTGACCTTTTACTACACTAATTAAAAAAAAAAGTTAACTACCCACAGATATTTCAAACTTAAAGTCAAACCATTACCTGCCATGTTGACAAACCCAAAAAAGTCTTTAACAATACTAAGATTAGTGTTCAGACTTTAGCTAACTGAAATAAACATATAGAGGAAAATTAAATCCCCCAAATGTTCATATTAGGATATAGAAGAGTATTTTGGAAGACATAAAAAAATTTTCTACCTAAAAAAAAAAAAATAGCTGACAGTGAAAGCCTGTCTCAAGAAAAGGTGAGTAAAAGGGTACAAAACTAAATGTAGAACAAAGATAAATGAGGTAATTGGCAAGAACTTGTTAAAATAATCAAATTTAAGAGAAGAAATACAGTACTGTACAGTGATTCTCTGATTTTCAACTTGCTAGACACATTGGTTTATTTTTTGGCCCCCTTTAGTCTCTCGTAAAATCTTGTTGCCATATTGATCTAAGTAAATTATTATTAGCTACTGTCACCACCTACCAATTACATGTTAGATGCCAGGAATATAAATCTTTGCTGTCTAGAGACCAAGAACGTGCATGAAAAAGGATCCAACAACACAAGAATGCATGGTTATGGACATGTAACTAAATGTAGCTGCATGTGTGCAAGACTTAAGCAAGGCCTAAAGCTTCACCATAAGCTGCCACATAATTTTGAAAGTGACATGGCAAATAGTCAAGTAAGTAAATTTGAATAACCTCAAAAGACGAGGTGACTAGAAAGGTATGGTAAGGGCTTCCCAACTAGTAAGACGTCAAGAGGACCTTTCAGAACGAGTTAAGGCTTCAATATGCACATGATCCACTTATAAGGTTTTAGAAAAATAATCTGACATTTTATAAGTATTGGGGCATATTTGGGAGTGGGAGAGGTTATCTCCTAAAAATATGACAGGGAATCAGTGAACAGCACTCTTGGAACGAGAAATTCAGAATCGTGTATCTTGAGTCCTAAGAAATGTTCTGCTTACAGAGTTGACACTGTATTTGCTGAAGCTCGTGTCTTTCGCACCAAAGTAGTTCTAATTATTTTCCAAAATATCTTCGTAAAGTGCTTATTTTTCTCACTGTTGAACTGAATTAGCAAACATCTAGGGCACGTTAGGGATCCGGGGACAGGAATTCTCTACTTGCGGCGAAACGCCGGAAGCCCCTGAATGAAAGGCATCCGACAGGGACGACTACGCGTTTCCCTCTCCGCGCTGTCACGTCTTCACTTCGAAGAAAAAGACACAATCCCTTGTGCGTCTCCAAGCCCTGACAAGGGCACGAAAAGCTACTTGCCGTCGTCTCCTTACCTATAGCAGTGCCTTTCTATAAATAACATCACCGCTCTGAGGTCCATTCCAGTCAGGAAGCCCCGCGAGCCGGTTCCGGCGCACCTCCCCGGGACGCCACCGTCACGCGCTCAGCCAGTTACAGCCGAGCGCTGGTGCATCACGGGAGTCGTAGGCGAGGGGATTCTGGGAAATGTAGTCGAGGAGCTCCGCCCTCTTCGCTGTTCCTGTAATGGCTGCTTCCCGGAAGGTAATGTACGAGCTCATCTCTGAGGATACTTGGATTGTCCCGACGTATTTGTAAAACGGGGCAAATCTGCGCCTTGCCGGGCCGAAGGAGGGATTCTTTTCCAAATCTTTGCGCCGAGTCTTGGAAAGAACTTGCTTCTTGGCTCAGTTTCTTTTATCTTTTCTGTGTAAAAGAACTGATGAACTTTAAATGTAGTTCTCTTGGATAAAGTGCTTTCTCTACGCATGAGTCATTTCTCTCCTTTCCGTGCGGTCTCCCCGCCCTGTACTGACTTTAGCTCCCTCTTTAAAACAATGTTTAAATTCTTCTTCCCACCCTACTCCAATAGGCCGTGTCACGTGTACTCTCTTAGCCTCAGCATCGGAGATCCGGAAAGGAAATCCAGAATTTCAAGTCAGATACAATTTTATATATATCATTTCTTTGGTAAGTCTGCATTCCGCACAGCTTCACGGAGTTATATATTGTGTGACTTTAGCCAAATTGGTTCATTGCCTAGCTGAGAGATTCAGAAAATGTAATTATTACTCACTAGGATATTTTCAATTTTCGACTGTCTTGTGCTTTTTGTTTTCTGTTCTAAACTATGTTTTACTTTTTAATTTATTTGATCTTTGCATATGTTCTTGACCTTCCTGTTGAATCGCAGGAGCCCGGATGTTGGTTTTCATGAGATTATTCCCATATGACTGTCTTTAAGAACTTCTAACTTCCTTCAGTTTTTTCACCTCAAAAATGAGATGTACAGTATCTGAAATGATTCATAAAATTAGAGATGGAGTGGACTGTTATTTGTCATTCCAAAAGGTAGAACGTTTTAATGGATCCTTTTTGTTTCCATGTTTAAATTCTAGGAACCTCCGGCCTTCGAGACGTGGACATCATGACCTCAGTTTCAACACAGTTGTTCATAGTCCTCATTTCTCTGCTTCTGGTTCTGCCCGCTGTTGAAGCAGTCGAAGCTGGAGATGCCATTGCTCTCTTGTTAGGTGTGGTTCTCAGCGTTACAGGCATCTGCGCTTGCTTAGGGGTGTATGCACGGAAGAGAAATGGACAGGTGTGACTTTTAAGGGCCTGTTCAATCAAACTCCACTCTGCAAACCTTTGTACTATTGAGACCCTACCTGACTTTGGTCTCCAAAAGTTACCAACAAACAGTATATAGAGGGTTTCACATTCTTGGTTGTTTCCCAGAGAAGGGAAGCAAATCAGCATTTGTGAAGTAGGAAAACAATGTTTCCTTTCTAACAAATAATACACTGAAAAATGCAGCCAATAGTTTGTTACTTAGAAAACAGGTCAAAAATGTAAAGATGGCTTTAAAATAGGTAAGTTCTAGTTCATAGTTTCATAATCCCCAGAACACATGCAATAGAAATAAGGAAGCACTTGCCCAGAATTTCCCAAATGACCAGTGTTTAGTTTCACTCACTGCCTCCTGAAATGCTGGGGAATCTTTCCTCCATGTTTTCAGATTTTTATTTTGTCGTGCAAGTTAATATTGTACTTAGATATTAAATAGCCAAACATTGAAATTTTTATCTTTGGGGGAGAAAGTTTAAAAACAATATATTCAGTATAGCTAATAGTGGGATGAAAAAAATGGAAAGATTTAAACTTTTTTAAAAACCCTTTATATTGACATTGAAATGGAAAAAATACTGTAATTAAAAAACCTTTACTATTGAGTGAAATCCCCATGGCAAGAAGTACAGTACTATATTAAATATAAACATTATGTTGTAAGGTCATGTGTGGTGTTCATTTCTGTTTATTTTGAATATTTTGTATGTGTATACAAATTTCTGTTTAAGACAGGTAGAGAAGAATGGGTTGCCTTATCTTTACTAATCACTGGCTTGAAGAGAGTGACAGAAGTGGGTAGCACTGAGGTAGGAAAGTACCCTGGTAGAAAACCTACAGATACAGAAGGAAAGAGTAATGACCTGTGCTGATTTGTAAACCAGCCAAATAAGATATACATACACTTTCTGTGATTTAGCTGCTTAGAAAGTTCTCAAACCAACAGCATTTTCTTGGGAATTTGTTAGAAATGCAGACTTTAGGGCCAGTGAGATAGCTCAGCAGTCTAAAGCTCCTGCTTAAGCAAGCCCAGCCACAGTTTGATCCCCAGCACCACGTGTCATACCAGTCCCACCTCCAGGGTGGCCTGAGCCAGCCACAAAACATAAAAATTTAGGACCTATTCATATAATTGAGTCAGAAATTCATTGTTCAAGAGCCTAAGATAACTCATACAGTATTACAGGTCCAGTAAGACAGCTGGAACTTACTAGAACTAAGAAATCATTATAGGCACTTGAGAAATTTTTGATTGCCAAAACCCTCTCCCGGTTGTATAGCAGTGGGATAAATCCTAGAATTCTGTGTTTAACAAGGGTCCTTCAGTGATTCATTGAATTCCAAGAATGGAGCCAGTATAAAACAGTCTTAGTACATCAGACTCATTTATAGTTTCCCAGGTAATAGTTAAATCTCTAGCTCTCTGGGTGACATTAAGAACCTCAATTTTCATCAGAAAACCAGCAGCAGCAAGTAAAATCCTCTTTATAGTGTGTTTCTCCACGACAGCTGACCTGATTTGCATGGGCAGGATGGTAAAGCGCCTAAGGAGTGAGGGACGCTGGATAAAAAAGGAGAGTAATGGGTCAGCTTTTGATCAGAGGAAGCAGTAACACTCAGGTAAACTGGCAGTTACATGTTATATAAGTAATTGCCTGATTCCACATGCTCTTTTTTGGTGGGAGGGGATATAAATCAGAATCATTTCATCTCTCGTACAAGAACATTGGCTCTAATTTAGAGAGGTCGCTGCTTCCTCATCAGTCTAAACTTTTTCACTGGAATGAAAAACAACAACCGCACAGTCATTTAGTCACCTGTTTTTTTTCAAATCTTAAACTAGAACAAACAATCTTTATTGAACATTTATTTCCAGAAGTCCCCAAGTAGAATTAGAGAACTGCCATTTTCCTCATTTCCCCTTAGCAGGGAATTCTAGGTAGCCTGCAGGAATTTCTAAGGCGATAATGGGAATAATGTCTTCCAAAAATAGCTTCGTTTCGCACATAAATTGGATTATATGGTTCTACCTAAAAATAGCAGAAACTGGTGGAATGACTTAAACTTTCCAGCCACTGGCTGCTCCGAGGATCCAAGAGCTATTGTCCTTTTCCCTGGAGAACTGTCAGTATAGGCTAGTATGTTTTAAATGAATTAAAGAGAATTCACAGAGCTGAAGTCCACTCAGGAATCCCATCTGTAAATTTCTTACATCCCTTTTATTTAAAAAAAAAAAAAAAATGCTTTTTAGGGGTTTTTCCATTTGTACAATTGCTTGATTTATTTTGAAGACTAGTGCCTACCATGGAACAGTTACAACAAGAATAGGATTGTTGGGTTCCCCATGTATCCAGCACAATTTAAATGTATACTAAATGTTCCCTGTTATCTTGATTAATGAAGAGTTGAAATTAACAATTGAAGACTTTAAGATCCATGCCAGCTGTTAATACTTCTTTTTTCTCTTATTTTTAGCTTTGCTTTTCCCTTATTGCCAAAAGTGCATCGTTTCTCTCTGTTTTCATGACTTTGTCTTTAGTTTTCACATATTTGGTTAGAATGTGTCTCCATGTGACCTTTGTGTTTCTCCTGTTTGGGGTTTACTCAGTTGCTGGAATATGTAGGTTTGTCTTTTCTCAGAGTTAGTAGATGTCCAGCCATCATTTCTTCATATACTTTCTGAGCCTAACCCTCTTTTTTATTCTCAGACTCCAGGGACCCAGTGGTAGATCTTTTGTTATAGATCCATACATTCCTAAAACTTCTTTCAGTTCTCAGCTGTGTTTCTTTGTTGTTCATATTGCATAATCTCTTGTGTACTATCCTCAAATTCACTATTTCTTCTGTTGAATTTTTAGTTCAAAATTTATCATTTGATTTTTTTTTCTTGTCACCTATTTCTTTGCTGAAACTTTTTTCATTTGATTCCAACATGCTTGTGATTAGTCAATAAAAGACATTTCTCACAACTGCGTCAAAACCCTTGTCAGAGAATTCTAACATTTTGTGTCATTGCCATGTTAAACATGTAATTAACTGAGCCATAGGGCTTTCTTAAGTAACATAAAGTTTAGTCTGCTCAAGTCAGTTACAAAGGTGCAGGGATTTGGTTTTGCCTTCTAAGGGAATAGCAGATCTGGTCCATAGTCTGTCAGAATATTTATCAAAAATCTTAGGACCAGCCAGATAGCTTAGCGAGTTAAAGCGCCTGTTTAGGCAGACACAGGGACCAGAGTTCGATCCCCAAAGTGCCATGCTGGCCCCACCCCCAGGGCATGCTGAGATGGTGATTGAGACTGGGCATGGCGGTACACACCTGTAATCCCAGAGCTTGGGATGCTGAAAACAGGAGAATCACTACAAGTGGATCTGTATAGTGAGACCCTATAGACCCTATACTAAATTTTAAAAAGAATTGACAAATCTTATTAAAAGGTATAAAACATACTTAATGTTTGTTGCATTGAGCCATGGAAAAACTTGATTGAATAATCCTGGATAGGATTTTCATACTTAATTGTGAAAATGGTCAAATCATTATTTTCAGAATAATATTTTTTCTTTTAGTAACTTCATTTTTCTAATTATGTTCTGTGATTAAATAATACATGTCTAACACCAAAGGGCAAAACTTCAAAGAACAGAAAAATATATAATTGCTGCAAAAACAAGAATGTGTGATTTAATTTCTCATTAACTATAATATCAGAGCCACTATGTTCCTCTAATATTTCTGCTGAATCTTTTATTTAAAGATGATTAAATTTTTGAAAATATTACTTAGTACTTCATAATCTGAAGTGAAATTATGAAATTTTATACATAAGAGTTAATTATTTATAAAGGGCTAATCATGGAGCACTTTGCTAAACATTGGGACTATAAATACATATTCCCCAATATTAATCAAGATAATTATGCTCTGGATCAATCTGCATACATCACTTAAAAGAATGCAGAAGCAGGCATGATCAAAAATTATTATTTTAATTCAGATAGTCTGTTAGAGCAGCTTTTATTTTGGCACAAAAATATCAGGGAATTTTGATAAAACAGTTTTGTGAGTCTTGGTATGATATATGCTGACTTGCATTTTTTTAATCAACACTTTGCAAATTAAGAAAAAAAAAGTCAGTTATTCAGCACAATTGGCCTTGAGCTAATAGTTTAACCTGCCTAACTCATCTGTAAAACAAGTGTTGCTATTCTCAGAGGGTTCCTAGTTATAAAATTTTGCGGCTCCATAAAAACATTTTTTTAAGTTCTAAAATAATATCTAATGAGTTGAAAATATTATAATTACCCATTTTTAGCTATAAGCAGTGAGGACCTAATTTCCTCTTGACATTCCTCACTGAAAACTAACCTAGTCATTTGGTACGTGTTGGGGTTCCAATTGAGTAAAGCAGGGGCAGCTCATTTTCTGTACAGGACAAACAATTAGGGTCGTTTCAAGAAGGAAGAACAAAAGCAAATGAAGCCTTGTCATTTCTGTTCGCAGCAAACAGCCAACATGCTTGTTGATACCAGCCTGCAGGTGTCTGGGACAAGGGACCTTAGAGTGCCCAAGTTGTTTCTTTATAGTACGCTTGGTAAGACCCAATGAACAGATCTTTCAAGTGGCATGCCAGACATTCTCAGAGGATAGCTGGCATCTTTAAACCTTCACTGAATCCTGTGGAAGACACCTCAAATGATCCCTAGATCCACCCATTTCTCTCCCTCCTGAGCTCCTAGGGCTGTGGTTCTGTGGCTGTGAGCCCCAGCAGTCCGGCCTGGTCCTGGTTGTGCAGCCCAACCACCATCTCTGTAGCCTCTTCTAATCATAGCAATGAACTGTTACCAGAAAAAGGCTCTAACCATGTTGCCATGGTTAACTTTTTTTTTTCCCGGAATTGGGAATTGAACTCAGGCCCTTGCACTTGCCGGGGAAGCGCTTATTCTACTGAGCCATCAAGGTTAGCCTTTGTCATGGCTAACCTTGAATTTCTGGGTGTTGGCTATCTTTGTACCTCACCCTTCGAAGTAGCTAAGATTACCCAAATTCCTTCCAGCCAACCGCTCCCTCGGGGTGGATGTCATCAAACACAGACTGCCTCCTGTTCACTCCAGTTCAAAACTGTCAGATCTCCTCATTTTGTGAATTCTTAGGAAGAAAGCCCTGTTTGATCTGCCCTTGTCTCCTCCCCATTTCTCCAGTCTCACCGATGTTCACAAGCCCTAAGCTATCTTGATTAACTCTTTCTAACTTGGTAGGCAATACCACGTGAGTTCTTTTGGTCTCC